CTTATTTTGGAACGCTACCTTAGGTAGCGTTTCAAAATAAGCTCCTAGCTTCCTAACTCTTTTTTTTCCATCTTTACCCTTATTATTTTAAAGTAATGACATTTTTAACCTTATGAATTAAAACCCTTTCTCTTCCCTATCCGCAACTTTCACGTAAATCTCTTCATCTTCATTTGCATTCAGAAACTCGTCCATCTACCATTCGCATTCCGCAAAGCATTCGTCCATCCCCCATCTTCATTTGCATTCATAAACACGTCCATCTACCATTCGCATTCCGCAAAGCATTCGTCCATCCCCCATTCGCATTTCGCAAAAGCATCGTCCATCAGCCACACTCCGCAGTCGGCAACAATCCAATAGCCATAGCCCATAACATCAGTCCGTAGGTATGTATATGTTATTTTGTTGTAGTTCTTGTATATATTGCATCTTGATTCAAATAGTTTAGTCTCTGCAATTTAGTTTCTGTGTTCCGTTTCTAAATAATAAAATTTGGTATCTTCTTAGTTCTGTTCCTGTTTCTGTGTTTTGCTGGTAATACTTGTTTATTAAAATAATAATCCATTTGGTTGGTGTAGCTGCTTATTCATTCATGCAATCGTACATGCACCTATAGTTTGATAGTTTGATTCATTTTTATGTACTGTTGATTTGGTAAACGTAGTTTATTGGTATACTACATAGTGTTTTGAATAACATTGTGGATTCGTTGTTTATATGGTTATTTCTGGGTAGATTGGTTGATTGATATGACTATTATAGTATTATGTGAATTGCAACAAGTTGAATAATGTTTGTTCTGAGAAATATAAATGAATATGGAGAGAGAATATAAACAATCGATGCTTTAACTTTGTTTTGCTGAATTATGAAATGTTGAGATCGAGTGATTTTGCATAATTTAGGTATACCACCACTTAAAGTAATAATCATCCCCAATAAAATGCATATAGTTTGATAAATGGATCATAAGCATCTTTTCTGCAATACATAGGGGTTGTAGCAATAATATAAATGTTTTCATAATCTGATCTGTTCATGTGAGTAGCTGTATGCATTATTCCATTGGATCTGCTTGGTGTAGCTGCTTATTGAGAATATTATGTATCAAATGTGTCTAGGCTCTATCATATGTCTACTTGTGTTCCTATGTGGTTTGAGTACTAAGATCTTGTCCAATAAAAATGCAGATGTTTGCTATGTTAGAGGGTATTGGATAATATTAGTTGCATACTGTAAATGATAGTCTTGTGCAATGGATCATTTTGCACATTCATTTTGATGTGTTTAGGATCATTAAATTGAAACTTTAGCTTATTATTATTATTATTATTATTATTATTATTATTATTATTATTATTATTATTATTATTATTATTATAATAATAATAATAATAATTATTATTATTATTATTATTATTATTATTATTATTATTATTATTAATGGGTTATTTTTAAATTAGCAATATGACTTCAACCAATGACAATTTGGATGGAGAGAATTTTAAGTGGACCAATGAGAACGTGATGCTTTTTTTGTGAGATTTGTATCAAATATATTCGAAAGCATGGGCGTGGGTTAATGAAATGGAAGGAGATTAAAGAAGAGTTTGAAGCTACCGCCAAACGAAAAATTGCACATAGAAGTTTAAAGAATAAGTGGGATGCTATGAAAAAAGAATGGAGAACTTGGAAGCATCTGAAACGTGGTGAAACTGGTTTAGGGTGGGATCCTAGTACAAATAAGATTAGTGGCTCCGACGAGTGGTGGGAGAAAAAAATCAAGGTTTGTATTATAGTTTTTTAATATTAAAACATAATAATATTTTGGTGTTGATTGTAAACTTATTCTTTTGATTTCTTTTGTAGGAGAACTCAGAGTATAAAAAAATTCCGTAATAAATCCATTGATCCTGCAATGGAAGATTTGTGGTCTAAGTTATTTGAAGATAACTATGCAAATGGTGAGGGTTGTGTTGCACCCACTATGGATCCTCAAGTAGTGCAACCTGTGGATATTGAGGAAGAAAATATAGAAAGTGGAGAAGAGAATAGGACTAGGCAAGGATTTGAAGATTTGTTATATTCTTAGGATAACCAACATTCTTCTCAATTGCAGGATTTGGAGGTTAATGAGTCTTTCATTTTGGAACAATTTTATTAGTGAGGTGAACCGTTCTAGTGGTAGTCAGGATGTTAGTGGCACTCAAGTGCCTAGACAATCTCAAGATCATAATGCAAGAAAAAGTGCAGAAACTCAAAATATTGGTCTTAAACCCACTCAGATGAAGCGTAAGAGGAGACAATCATGAGGAACAGCTAAACTTTCTAGTCAATTAGACAGTTTGATTTCAAATTCAAATCGGGCATTGGACATTTTAATATCTGAGAGTACCGTGAATACTCAAAGTAGTACAAGTTTTAGTCTTGCTGCAGCAATAAGTGTTGTTAATCGCATGATTAGTGATGATATTATAGAAAAAGGTGGAGATTTGTGGTGTTTTTCTCTCAGCTTGCTTAAGGATGATTTGAATCGGGAAATTTTTTGCAATATTGATGATAACTCTTCTAGGAAAGCTTGGTTGAAGTATATGCAGGATACAAGCAAGTGAATGCTTATTTTATTCAATATGTTTGGTTGTAATTTCAATTTGACATTTGTGTGTTTGAATATTAATTTTTGTATGAACTAATTTTATGAATTATAAACATTTTGTTTTACTTTATATATTTTCAAATATATGTTCTTACTTTATATTTTATTAAAATATATTGGTTTCATTATTTTATATTTATTATTAGGTACATCATGGAGTTGGAACGGAAAAGAAAAAAGAGAAAGCAAGCACTTTGTACAATTATAACATCGTATGCCACAATTGCTTTAGCCAAAACATATTACTTTAAATATATTTATAAAGAACCTTGTATGACTTCACCTTTTAGAGGACAAGAATGGATGAGAGAAGTGTTGAATGGACATCCTATTCGATGTGTAAATGCATTTAGAATGGACTCCGATTTGTTTAAGCAATTATGTGAAGACTTATATTCAAAATATGAATTACAATCTACTAGGAATATGTCATATGTGGAGAAAGTTGGTATATTTATATACATACTTGCTATGGGTGCTTCCAATAGAGAGATTGGTGAGCGATTTCAACGTTCCGGTGAAACAATAAGTAGAGCATTTCATGAAGTTTTGGAAGCAATTAGTGGTAGGAGTAGCGGATACAAATGCCTTGCACGTAATATCATAAAACCAGATGATTCTACATTTCAATCTATACCGTCTTACATTACTAATGATGCACGATACATGCCATATTTCAAGGTAAAATGTGACCATTTATTATTATTATTGTTGTTGTTGTTGTTGTTATTATTATTATTATTATTATTATTATAAGATTGATTATCTAATATATATATATATATATATATATATATATATATATATATATATATATATATATATATATATATATATGATGAATAGGATTGTATTGGATGTATTGATGGTACTCATATAGCAGTGTGCATCCCTGAGGCTGATCAATTGCGATATAGAGGGAGAAAAGGAATTCCTACTTTCAATGTTATGGCAGCGTGTGACTTCGATATGTGTTTCACTTTTATATCTGTTGGATGGGAAAGATCAGCACATGATACACGTGTATTTCTTCATGCTATTAATACACCATCAATGAACTTTCCCAAGCCGCCACAAGGTATCATATTCGTATTACTTTAACTCCAATAAAAATCATATAATTTTATTCTTTATAAAAGTTTAGTGTTATATTTTTTAGGAAGATATTATTTGGTGGATAAAGGATATCCAGATAAACAAGGATATTTGGTACCTTATCCAAGAATAAGGTATCATCAATCTCAATTTGAACAAGAGCCGCGCAACTAATGCTCAAGAAGCATTTAATCGTGCACATTCTTCTCTTCGAAGTTGTATTGAGAGGTCGTTCGGAGTACTGAAGAAGAGATGGAAGATACTTGCTAAAATGCCGCAGTTTAGTGTGGAGACCCAAATTGATGTTATTATGGCCACATTTGCACTACATAATTATATTCAGAAAAATTCGCAAGATGACATGATGTTTAATGTGCTTGAGCAGTATCCAGATTACATACCACCTGATGACCTTCAAGATTCAAGTAGTAATATCTCCATCAACGAAAATTTAAGTCAGGCCTCTATGGAGATGAAGGAGATTCGCAACAATATTGCTACTTCATTATGGGATGCTAGATCATGATCATGCTAAATAGTTTTATTTTAAAAAATGTTTACTTTTTTTTGGAAGTCGAAATGTTAAATTTTAATATGTAAACAAACTAATTTAAATTTTATGAAGATGTCATTTTTAGTCTTTTTACATTTATCAGCTTATCAAAAACCTAATTTTACCAAACACTTTCAATCATAACAGCTAGCTAAACAGCTCTTCAATTTTTAGCTCCGAGCTTATAGATTTTCAGCTTTCAGCTCCTTTTCCTTTCAGCTCCTTTTCAGCTTTCAGCTCCTAGTTTATAGCTTTTCAGCTAGGTTTGCCAAACAGAGCCTACAAATAAAAGTATATGCATTTATCCCAATGTGAAGTCATTGAAAACATCAGTATACTATTTTTATTTTATTATTAAGAATGTTGTTATTTACCATTTATTATATATGTTAAGTAATGTTATTAAGTAACATTACTTAATATAAGGCATATCCGTGCATTATACGGTATAATACTAGTATTCAAATGAGTTAAATATTTTACTAAATTTACACCAGACCAGATCTCTTACCGTTATACTCAACCTGGACAAATCTCAGCCGTTAATCGTCATTGCCATTTGCCACCGACGTGTGATTGCAATCGAAGATCCTAAAAGCCGGGGCCCACCCGGCAATTCGTACCCGAACCGGAACCCAAGCTCCAATGACCCTTTCATATTCAACAGCATAAAAATCCCAATTACTCAAAGGCCGTCCTCTCTTTCTCTCTCTTCAGGCTTCTTTGTGGTTCTCTTTTGTGTGTCTCATCCTCCTGCGAGTCTCTCTCTTCCTCTCTTCTTCGATCCAGTTATCACTGTAAGTCCAATCTCAAACCCTAAATTTCCAGTCATGTTCGATGTTTTAGATCCTTAAATCTTATTAATCGATTATAGTATTCTTTTTATTTGTTAATTCACAAGAACAAAAATATTTTTTTAATCTGTTCGTACGTTTATAAATCATTCTACATTCATAAGCTGGATATATACTTCCTTTTATTGGATTTTATTTGATTTTGACTCTCGCATGTTGAGCTCCGATTTTCATTTTCATTATTTTAAAAAAATTGTTTGGATTTGTTTATTTATTTATTAAGGTTTTTACCTTTTCTGATTATTTTGATTTTCGATTAAATTTGCATGTCTGGATATGTTGATTTTGATTTGTGTGCTTGATCAGTCAGTTGATGAGCTTTCGAGTGGACAAAGGAATCTAGAGTTTGACTTTGGATTTTGTGATATAACAAGTGAGCGGAGTTGTGACTTGAATTCAGATCTTTTCCTATCATGCAGTTTAATGCAGAAGCTGTTTGTATTTTCTGAATTATTATAGAATTTAATATCTTTTACTTGTATAATGTGTTGTAGAAGACTCCCTGATAAGTAGAAGTATTGCATTTCAAAAAAACAAAATTGAAAAATAATGTGTTTTAGAAGTAATTGAATGGCATTATGGAGTGTTTGGATATGGTTTTGCGTTTTAACGTAAAGTTTTTTACTAGTGGATGCAATTTTGTGCTTATTATAAGAAATTTTTGTAGTCTGAGTTAATAGTGCATTGGAATAATTCTTTAAAAGTGTCAACTTTTTGTGTTTCTCATTTGCAAAGGCAACCATGAGCGACCAGGGAGAAAAAACCTGTCCTCTCTGTGCTGAGGAGATGGACTTGACAGATCAGCAACTGAAGCCATGCAAGTGTGGTTATGAGGTTCTAAATCTTTCATTTTTTTCCAATTGTTTTATTTGGAACAATCTGGTGTTAAGTAGCTTCTTGCACTGTTTTATTATTTGCTGGTCATAGCTATTATATTTATCACCTTTTACTGCAACTGGCAATTTTGTGAATTTGGATAAGTAAGATCCACACTTGACTACTTGAGAATATAAAGATAGAACTTTAAAAGAATGTGTGGACTTTCTCTTTACTTAAGGTTATCAGTTAAGTGTCTTGTGCTCCCAAACCCCCACATGCACACATCTGAAAACCCTCCAATCCACCCAGACACCCCAAAAAGAGAACAGAAAATACTTAACATATAGAGAGAATTCTCCATCATTTGTAAGGTTTGGATGAATTAATTTACCTTATGGTTCGATATGGCCAAAATTAAAGTTCTGGTATTTCTATGATAAGTCTGTCATTTCCTCTAACAGAATGATATTACAACCATTTGTCATTTACCCCTAATAGCCCAAAAAATATGCACCAAGTAGACTTAAGCGTTCATTATTGGATATTGCTGTTCTCTTATTTCTGTAATAAATTTATTTTTATTTGAATTTACAATTGATATTTAAAATGGTCTTTCTTTATTAAAAATCCTCTTCGGAGTTGCAGATTTGTATTTGGTGCTGGCATCACATTATGGACATGGCTGAGAAGGATGAGACGGAAGGCAGATGCCCAGCATGCCGTAATCCTTATAACAAGGAAAAGATTGTTGGCATGGCACCAAATTGTGAAAAGTATAAACTAAGAAATATATACTCTAGAGGATGAACTCGTCAACATTTGAGATTCTTCTTTTATCTGTTGTATTCATCTTTGTGATTGTCATAACAGGATTGTGGCTGAGATGAATATGGAGAAAAAGCAGAAGTCCTCCTATAAGGGGAAAAGTAAAACATCTGAGTCAAGGAAGCAACTTTGCAGCGTGCGAGTAATCCAAAGGAATCTTGTCTACATTGTGGGATTGCCGCTTAATTTGGCAGATGAAGATGTGTGTTGTTTATGAGCTTTTCAAAACAATTTTTTTTTTTCTCTAATTCTTACTCATACTTAATTACTCATACGCCTTTCCTACTCTTAAAAACAGCTGTTACAGCACAAGGAGTATTTCAGTCAGTATGGAAAGGTTTTGAAGGTGTCTATATCTCGAACAGCAGCTGGTGCTATTCAACACTTTCCAAATAATACATGTAGTGTGTAAGTTTGATCCCTGGGCACTGGGGTTGTATATTTTATTTGACTAATCTGTTTGAGGAAGGTGCTGAAATTTATGTTTTGATTTTATATTATATATGTTAGTTTATGCTTAGCTTCCTACCTTCTCCACTTATTGAAAATCTGTATGTACTTTTCTTCTGAACAATCTCCTCTGAGCAGATATATCACCTATTTGAAGGAGGAGGAAGCAGTTCGTTGTATTCAATCTGTACATGGATTTGTTTTGGAGGGCAGGCCTCTAAAGTGATTACAACATTTGATCCATGATGTACTTTATATATTTCTTTATGAAAAATTTGGTTTAATAATCATTTGAAATTCCTTGTGCAGAGCATGCTTTGGAACAACAAAATACTGTCATGCTTGGCTTAGAAATGTGGTATGCTCTTCGAATGAATTTGAAATTGACAAGAGCTTTTTACCCCAAAATTTGGGTGCTTTTTTATAATTGATATGTAACGTTTCTGACATAACATTCCATCATTTTCTTTATTTTTTTTTGTCCTGTTACAGCCTTGCACCAATCCTGATTGTTTATACTTGCATGAGATTGGGTCGCAAGAAGATAGTTTTACCAAAGATGAAATAATATCAGCTTACACAAGGTATATGATTTTTACGGCTGTCTTGTTTTCCCTCTTTAATATTTGTAATTGGTCCCTGTGTGTTTCATTAAACTTGTTGTACCTGACCCCATTGTGAGTTCAACTGTATTGGGACAGTACTATTTGGTGAACATATAATAATGCGTTAAGTACTATTTGGTGGGAATTTGGATGCCCCCGCATTATATTAGAATCATGGTAAACAGTACTTATTTTTAATATCATATTTGGTGACAATTTGTTTGGAAAATTTATGGTTTTCCTAGTTGTTTGACAGACTTCTGAATTTATCTGAAAGGGTCAGATTTGTATCAGATGTACTTCTTTTTCCCCTTGTATCAGATGTACTATAAGGAGAGTGCTCTATAGTTTAAATGAGAACTGGAAGGGGCACTGGTGGAAACTTAAAACCATACAGTTTTTTTAGTTCTTTCTTGATTATTGTGTAAAGTCCAACTGCTTCATGAAAGTAAATTATTTAAGTGCCCTAGTGTTAAATACTTTAATTCAAATCTGAAAGAGTAATTGTGATTAGGAGTACTCATGGATTCTGTGTGATAATTAATGGAATATGAAGGTAGATATTGTTTTTAAATACATATTCACATCAATTATAACTTTCTGAATATAACTTGTGTAGAAAAATTTTCAGTCTTTTACTTTGGTTTTTCTATGCTTGTCTATTTTGTGAATGATAGTGTTTAACTCGGTCTTCATTGTAATTAGTGCTTGTCTTTTTTTATTTTTTATATGTGTGGAATTATCACCTTAAGGACTATGAAGTCCACGAACCGGTGGACTTTGAGGCCACGTGTCTTCTGTGTCTTTCAATTTACAACTTGCAGGTGCTTGAAGAAAATCATTTCTGTTCTAATAAAAAAAATACGTAGGACAATTCTAGCTATGTTGTAATTTGTTTTCTATGTCCAAGCCTGGTTACAGGGACGAAGGGGCTAAACTTTTTAATTGTGTATTTGTTCATTGGAGTTGGTGCAGAGCAATTTATATTTAGGTCATCTTTGTTTTCATGATTGTCCTTTAGTATGCTACTCACTAAAATGAGCAAAGCTTCATACTGGTTTTTCTGTAAGTGGCTGGGTAATTAACATACATAGTTATTTTAAAGGAGTAGAGTACAGCAAATATCGGGTGCTACAAATAGTATGCAACGGCGTTCAGGGAGTATATTACCACCACCAGCTGACAATTATTGCAATAACAGCATTGCTTCTACAGCGAAACCTATTAGTAAAAGCACTACAACTGTAAGATTTTCTGTTATACACTCTAAATTTGTTTTTTTTTTTTTTTTGTTTAAATGGGGAAAGGACAAGAATAATTTCAAAATAAAAATGATTATATATGTGTGTGTGTGTGTTTGCATTTATATATTTATTTATATATTTAAGGGTTTGATATATTTATATATCCCGTCATATTACTTGTGGATTTATTATGTTCAACTATAATGTTGCATGGATATAATTTTAGTTATTCTTCACTATTTATGTTTCAACAGATATTGTTCTTGACCAATTTGATATGTTGATATTGATGCATGATATTACTTTTATTTCTTGCAGAGTTCTGCAACCAGTGTCAGAGTTTCTCCACCAAATAGTAGCTCTGGTAGATCTGCTGCTCTTCCTGCTGGTGCTTCATGGTATATTTTCATCTGATTTGTCTTGTAATGATTTTTCATTTTACTCCATAAGGTATTCATGCAAAAAGTATTTTATTTGCCAGGGGAACACGTGCCTCAAATAATCAACCACCACCTTCAAGTTTACCTTACTCCAATGGGACTCTCAAATCTAAACCTGAAATTAGCAACAGCGCAACATTGTTTTCTGCAGCAGTTGCAAGTACAAGTCAGTGTTCATCATTGCATGCTGATCGAGATAAGCAGCTTGCTCATGTTGATGAAAGCGGCAATAATCAAGATCGGCACAAAATTGAAACTCCAGAACCTGCTAAGCAGTATGTTGAAGCAGATGATCAAGACTATGTTCCTGAGACCCCTCCCATGCCAGTGCTACCTCTTGGTCCATCTACAAATGGCCAAATACACAGTCACCCTGCTGCTAAGGAAAAGGATTGTCATATAGCTGTACAAACAAATACTGTTAGTTCTTTTGACAGTGCTTTGATGTCTAATGGACCTGTTGCTGCAAAAGATTCAGCTGAAGTTCCAGATTATGAAATCCAACAGTTATGCTCAGAAATGTCTTCATTAAGTAATGATAGACATCAAAATGTTGATCATTCTAGTAATCCTTTGACTTCTGAGGGGAAAGCCGCAGCTTGTGCTGCTGATGAGAGTTGCATGACAAATGACGAGTCTGATTGTAGATTGGATTTGCAAATGCAGGTTGTCACTCGTGGGAATGGCTCCCATTCTTCTGATGATCTGAAAAATTGGAGTCGTGATGCTATTCCTGACAGAGGTCACACTCCATCAGAGTCGTTTAATTCTTCAACTCAGTCTCCTTTCCTTACCAACTCCATTGGGTCTGTTAATGCCAACATGCATATTGTAGATAGGAATTCTGATTCATTATTACAGCCTTCAAGTTTACAGGGTATCTCTAATGGATACCGGGAGAACATAGTTAACTGTTATGCTGATGTTGGAAGCACCGATAGAGGTTCCAGTTCGCTGTCAAATGCAGATCAGAGGAAGTATGGAAACAATGTTGAAGGTGAAACTGCAACTGCTGACTGCAATAGTGCTGTAGATATGGGAGAGAGTAGCATAATATCAAATATTTTGTCACTGGATTTTGATCCATGGGATGCACCATTAACTTCACCTCAGGACCTGGCCAAGTTGTTAGGGGATTCTGATAAACAGCCCAATCTTAGACTATCAAACTCATTAAAGTTACATACGAGCAATCAATCAAGGTTCTCTTTTGCGAGGGAGGAGAAACCTATAAATCAAGCACCTGGTTTTGAACCATCTTTCAGTCATACTCAACAAGCTTTTAATCATCCTCTAAGCCACGACTTCTCCAATAGTAGGAGCTTTCAACTTGATAACCCTGGTCCTCGTAATGGTTTCTCTCTAATCAGTAATGAGGACTACAATAGTTTGCCCTGCAATTATTCTACCTTTTCATCTAACAAGCTGTCAGGTGAGTTAATACCTTTCATATCATAATTATTGTTATTGTTATAATTGGCAGGGGGTTGGGGTGGTGGTGTTGGTTGGAACCTACAGTTTTTGGTACAGAAGACAGTTGGGGAAAGTAATTTTCCTGTTCTATGTTTTTAGTGATAATGAATAGTGGCTTTTCATAATTTACTAAGAAATCTTGATTTACATAATTCAAATAAAATATAATTCTGCTGGACTAATTGCACTTTCCCCCACTGAGCTTGCATTTCTTTTCCTTTTGGGTGTTCCTTTAGTCCTTTTTATTAATAATTCTCTTCATGAAATCCTGAAAACAGTATCAAGATCTCAGATGTCGGCCCCACCAGGATTTTCAGCACCTAACAGAGCACCACCTCCAGGTTTTGCTTCTCATGAAAGAGTGGAACAGAATTTTAGTTCTCTTTCAGGTTAGTTATTTATACTTGGATTTTTCTCTTGTCACCCCACATGAGAGAGATGTATATATACACCAAGATAGAGTATGCATATAATTAGATTTTTGGATATCTTTCATCATCTAAGTCCCACTCTTCTTTGGCAGGGAATCAATTGCTTGACACTGCAATGTTACGGAACCAGTATCAAAATCCACCTGCTGGAAATATGGCAGATAATGATGGGTTTGAGTTGATGGATCCTGCAATTTTGGCAGTTGGCAAAGAGAAGATTCCTAGTGGCCTTAACTTCTCAGGAATGGATTTGGCTCAAAGTTTTCCTCCGCAATTGAGTACTTTTGACAACGAGGCAAGACTTCAGTTATTAATGCAACGATCTCTATCTCCACATCAAAACCAGAGAATAGCTGATACAGGGGACAACTTTTCTCCCTTTCATGATGCTTATGGTATTCCTTCCAGAGCTGGTGAGCAAACACTAGCTAGCAATCTCTCCCCATTTTCACAATTCAGTCTTCCACAGTCTAGAAACCCTGTTATGTCAAATGGCCACCACTGGGACGTCTGGAATGGGGTCAATAGTGGAAATGATTTGAGTGTGGCTGAGCTCTTCCGCAATGAAAGGGTGGGACTTAATAACTTCTACTCTGGATATGATGAGTCAAAGTTCCGCACGGCGGCTAATTCTGGCAGTTTCTATAATAGAACATTTGGGATCTAAGCACATTTGTGAGACTCTTTTGGCATTCACTAGTAGTGGAACAAATGATTGAATGGAAAATGTTGACCAATAGAATTGCAAAGACGGCCTGGCTTGCTCTGGGTGTTTCAGTCACTGGAATAACTCAATCCACTGCATATGTGACACTACTTGACAGAATTGCATCCAATGATGGGAAGACTCGTTGGTGATTGTCTGAGTGAGCTACTTTCAGATTGGTGAAGGACCAAGCCTCTTCAATGGGGTGGTCAGAAACCGACAGGTCAGTCTTTTGACACTCAAATTCTTTTAATCTCAATTAGTATGTTTGACTGGTGGTGGTTATTAGAACTCTTTATTTTGTTTTTATTTTAATTTTTTTGGGTCTGGGGGAGGGACCTGACAGCTTCGTATCATTCACAATATAATGCTTCTCAGGTGAAAGAAGCAGAGATTGAGGCTCAGTACGAATTTTGACTCAGATGCGTTAGATGCTTGGGGTGACTGGTGATTCTCTGTATGTGTGCTTTTCTTTGATTGGGGTGGAGAATCGGGACATAGACCCCCACCCACACCAATTTTTATCAAATAAGAGAGTGAAGGAAAGACCAGAATAATATGGCTGGCTTGCCCATTTGTCTTGTAAGTACAAGAATTGGAAAGATGTGAATGACATTGAAAGCTGCTTTTATAGTCTGCTCTTTCCATTGCTTTTAAGACTTGTGCCTGCGTTTTGTGCCTATACTATGATAAAGGTTTGATTTGATTTGAATAGATGATTACAATGATAATAGTTAACACTTAAATATACTGTTCCTGTTCAATGCTTGCCAATGTGCTTCCAGAATTTCACAGCCGTACAACTAAAGAAAAATAGCTATATTCAATCTGTTGTGCTGACAATGTTGAAACGAGCGGGAATAGATTGCTTTTATTATGTTCATAGCTCCTACTTAAATGTGAATTTTGATAAGTTAAAGATCCATTGTTCGTCATGTCTTGCGAGCATTGATTTGTTGGGGTGCTATCTGCTATGCATCTTTTTTCTTCATATATAATTAATAACTAATGGGAAGTAATCATATTTTGAGTTCAATTAGCACCTAGTCACCTACTTCATTTTGCTTTACATTTTTAGAGGAACTCTCAAGCTTTACTTCGTTGATGACATTCCACGAATTTATTTTTCCAAACAAACATTGCAAGTTGTTGAAATATTTATGTGCCTAAATTTATACTCAAAATGTTACTACGTGTTAGTAGTGTGCAAAAGTTATCTGGTACAAGGACATGTGGGTGTTAGGTTTAGTGAGTTTGACTAATTGATAGCATTAGCCGTTTGTAGAAAAGTGTTTGGTAAATTGTCGTTATCGAAAAGTTAATTTGATTAGTTTTTTGAATTTTAACATTTTCAAGGAATAAGTTATTATAAAAAACTAATTAATTAAACATTCATCTTGATTGTTTAACCAAGTCAAACAGTTAATAATGATCAAATAAATTAAAATTGACTGATAAGTTAATTATATTACTAAAAAAGGGCCTATAATATATAGGGAGTATATTTTTACACAGTAAATATCACTTTTGGTCCATTGATTATAATTGAAGTATTTTTGGCCCTTGATTATTGCTTTTTTCAATTTAGGTGCATGACTTTCTAATTAGTATTACTTTTGGTCCTCCGATCTAATTTTCTGGTCACATATTACCAGAATTTCAACCCAAGTGTTGTAATTAGAAGGGTATTTTGATCCTTTCAAATTTATTTTATTTTCCTCTTTTATTTTTTTTATACCATGAAAATAATACCGCAGTGATTCTATCCGATTTTGTAGTTGTGTAATTGAATTCCTCTTCTTCTAGAGGTATTTGGCAAGTTTTAATTATAATTTTTAAGTGGGTTAGCATGTTTTAGTAACTATTTGACATTTGGATGAAGAAATTGCTTGCTGTGCTGACAAAGTTGCTTAGGTGTGATAACAAAGTTGAGGAAGAAGAAAAGAATGAAAAAGAGAAATGAAATAAATTTGAAAGGACCAAAATACCATTCTAATTACAACACAATATTTTTTTGGTTGAAAATTAGATCGGAAGACCAAAAGTGATACTAGTTAAAAAGTCATGCACTTAAATTAGAGAAAATAATTGTCAAGAATAAAAAATGCTTCAATTATTATCGTTAATAGACCAAAAGTAATATTTACTCTTTTTATGAATTAACAAATAATATTATTACATGATACTCCGTAATACATTGTCCTGGAAAAATAAACGAAAAGCAGGAAAATGTAACGTCAAGTGAAATTTCTGTCACTCAATGCCAACGTCATTGTTTAAGGTGTAAACAGTGATGGATCCTTGGTGTCCCATGATATTATTGGGTTTGCTATACGGTTCTACAGTGAAATTGAGATATGGTTTGTACACTGTCAAGGAATTAATGAATGATGACATGAACACAAGTCATTTCAATTCAATGCGACTTTTCTATTGTGTTGGTGGCAAAACCTCATTGAGCGCTAGTCAGGTTAGAATACTACTACATTTACATCCAACTTTGACACGAATAATCTATCGTATACTTTCATTTCATACTCTCATTTATATACTCTTATGTGGTGTCATGGTATTAAAGTAAGATTTATTAATTCAGTAGTAACTATGGTTTACCTTGTCATTCAAAAAAAAATTAAATTAATATACTCTTTTATTCTTACTATCAAACAATGACAAACTATCTTTATGATCTCACAAAAAATGTCTACATACATTAAAAATTTGATTAGTAATCTAATTGTATTTTCCGTCTACTTATTACTTAGATCTAAAACGAGACCAACCACATGTCAACCTGATGAAATATATATTAGTTAGAGATAAGAGTACTAAGTCACAATTATACTTTTGCAATAATTTGTATATAAATTGACCAATTACAATGCGAGTTAGTCCATTAGTATAGGAGAGACTTTAATGGAATATTTAGTATTTTCAACATCAAATCATAACCCTGAAATAAGCTAGCTAAATGGGGTAATATCAATAATATAACACAATTTTTGAATTTTCATTAACCAATTGTTCCTTGTCAAGAAATATATAGTCCAAGAGAGTTTAAGTTGCTTTTTAATAGCCTAGTGTAAATGATCAAAGCATTTGACTAAAAATAGGGTAGAAATAGTAAATTTTAAGTGAGTCCTTTATTGAGAATCTTATGTAATATTATCTATTGTTTGGTAGGTTTTGAATATATATATATATATATATATATATATATATATATATATATATATCATTTACGGAGAATTATTTAGTGTACAACAACAATAATAATAACAATAATAATAATAATAATAATAATAATAATAATAATACTTTGTATCATTTAGACAATTAACTTTATATAGTATACGAGTAAAGTTGACAATGACATAGCTTTAATAATAACATGTATAGCCAATGAGCTTTTGTCGTATTAGTTATGCGAGATTATCCTTAATAACATGTATAGCGAAGGAGTTTTTGTCTTATTAGTTATGGGAGATTAATCTCAAAGTCAAGATTTCAATTCCAATTTCATATATTTAAAATTGTATAGTGTATTTGTCTTATGTTGTTATTAACTTTTTTTTTTTTAATCCATTCATCAAAGTTATCTTTAAGTAGGTGAAAAGTTGACTTTTCCCTTGTTATTTTATTAATATATTAGCTAGAAAGCTCTAGGGTGGAGTCTGTGAGATTCCTTGAGAATGATACATTTATATTCGGATTCATATGGAAACCACTTTTTAGGTGAGAATGTAAGGATTGGCCCCTGGGTTTTACCAACAGCTCTGAAAAAAAATCTCTCTCTAGAATCTCTCTAGGGTTTTTGCCTCCACACTAGGGTTTCCTAGGGTTTTTGCATTGATAGCATTTTTCCGGCGACAGCCGGCGTACGACTAGCGAATGATGAGCGCGCCGACGGCGACGGTGCAGCCGGACCCGGATCAGCGTACGAGGACGGGGGAGGACGAGGTTGCTGTGGTCACCGAACAGTGGGCACAATGGTCGCTGGAGGAGGAAGAGGCGACTTTTGCGCCGGTCGGGGACAAAGTAGGGCAGGCCGACGTGGGTATGGAGGAGACGTGGAAAGTTGTAGGAAGATTCCTGACTCAGAAGATGGTGAAGTTGGAGTTTATGCGTCAGGTTTTAGCTTCCGTTTGACAACCGGTCAAAAGGGTTCAGGTTACGGAGATCCAGAGGGGTGTGTTCTTGTTCGTTTTCTTTCATAGAACGGACGTGGATTATGTCTTGGATGGAGGACCCTGGGCTTTTGAGAATAATGCCTTGGTTTGCAGGGAGGTACCGCCGAATACTCTCCCCGGGGAGATCCCGTTGAACACAATTGATATGTGGGTGCAGTTACACGATATGCCGTTGGGATATACATCTCAAACGGTGTTAGAGCAGGCTGGCAATTTCATTGGTACCTTTGTGAAACATGATGATCGGTTTGAAGGGGCCCCGTGGTTGACTTTCCACCGAATTAGGGTTTCTATTCCGGTGGATAAACCATTACGACGACGAATGAAGCTACTGAAAAGGGATAAGACCACGGCTTGGGTAACGTTTCGCTATGAACGGTTACACAGGTTTTGTTTTTACTGCGGATTAATGGGACATCTATATAATTTTTGTATTAAGGCGCGGGACTCTGGCATACCATTGGAGCGGTACCCGTATGGTCCGGATATGCGAGCTGGTGGATCCCGGAGCGCTCCTAGAGCGGTTGGGGAGAGCTGGCTTGTGCCGGTTGGCGGGAGACCACGTCCAGTAGAGGTGGATACCGGGGTGGCCGGGGCGGCAGTGGTACGGCCCAGTGGCGCTGTACCTGTGCGGGGCGGATTGGTGGCCGAAGAGCAGGTGGAAGCCACCAGGAAAAGGCGCAGGCAGGCTGAGAGAGGCCGACGAGGTACGGAGTTTGAGGGAGAGGATGTTATTATGCAAGAAGGTTCAAAAAACTTGTCCATGGCGGGAGCTGCTGCACAGCCCCGCCCGTCCCAATGAGTACGTTAAGCTGGAACTGTTGTGGCTTGGGCAATCCACAAACAGTTCGACAGATTGTGGACCTGGGGTCCCGTAAGAAGCCAGATTTTGTGTTCTTAATGGAAACCAAGGTGGCACGGATACATGCTGAGCGGATTCGTGTTAGTCTTGGGTACGAGGGGTTATTTTATGTTAACAATGATAGGATGAGTGGTGGTATGGCTCTATTGTGGAAAAAGAATAACACGGTACAATTGTTAAGTTATTCTAAGAATCATGTGGATGTGGAGGTACAGATTGAGGGGAAGCAATGGCGGATGACATGTTTTTATGGCTTTCCAAAGTGGAACGAGAAGAGGGACTCATGGAATTTGTTGCACACGTTGAAGGGTAGGTCCGCGTTGCCGTGGGTGGTGGTGGGGGATTTTAATAATCTCTTGTTCCAGCATGAGAAGAGAGGTGGAAACCCGTATCCTGATAATCTCCTACGTGGTTTTGGGGAGGCAATTGATGAATGTGGGTTGGCCCAGATGCCTATGAGGGGGCATCAATTCACATGGGAGAAAGGCAAAGGCACGCAGAATTGGATTGAGGAAAGACTTGACAAGGTGTTGACCACAACGAGTTGGAATGATATTAATCGTCATGCATGGCTGGAGAATATTCGAACTAGGGCATCGGATCACTCGATTCTTTTCCTCAACATTAATGCACCATGCATACCGAGGAGAGGAAACCCGAGGGGTTTTCGGTTCGAGATGGCCTGGCTTTTAGAAGAAGGCTGTAAAGAGGTTGTGGAGACTGCCTGGAAGGATGGTAAAATTGAGGGGCTGCTTGGGTGCCAACGATATTGTGGAGAGAAACTCATGCGATGGGGTGGTGAACGTTTTCATAAGTTTGGAAAACGTATTGACTAGCTGCGACGACGACAGGAATCTATCCGCAATCGGAGGGACCACGCGGCGCTAGCCGAATTCCGGCAGATTGATGACCAGCTGAATCTGCTGGAGGCCCAGGAGGATGTATTTTGGAGACAACGGGCAAAGCAACATTGGCTACGGGGAGCAGATGCCAATACAAAATTCTACCACAGGTATGCTTCTGCCCATAGGAAAAAGAATTTAATTATGCGTATTAAGGATAATGATGATTTGTGGGTTGAGGGGGATAAGATGAAAGCAGTGATAGTGGATTATTATACAAATATTTTTGCCTCGAATAATTCCAGTTGCTCAGATCCGTTGTTTGAGGATTTTAGTCCCCGAGTTACTCAAGAGCAGAATGCGTTGTTAATACGGCCCTATGAGGCGGATGAAGTAAAGGAGGCAGTGTATTCCATGTTCCCAGATAAGGCACCGGGACCGGATGGCCGGGATTTTACCAGCACTTTTGGGGTGTAGTGGGGGATGATGTAACTCGTTTTATAACAGGTGCGTTGAATTCATGTGTCCTCCCGGAGGGATTGAATGATACAAATATAGTGCTAATCCCTAAGAAAACACTACCTGAGACAGTAGCAGATATGAGGCCAATTGCGTTAAGCAATGTGGTTTACAGGATTATGGCGAAGATGATTGCGAATAGAATGACGCCACTGATGGGAGGAATAATCTCAGAGTCCCAGAGTGCTTTCATTCCGGGCCGTTTAATTACAGATAATATATTGGTGGCTGCGGAAGTGGGACACTATTTGCATAGGAAACAGTGTGGCAGTGCGGGGTGGAGTGCGTTAAAACTGGACATGTCAAAAGCTTATGACAGAATGGAATGGCCTTTCCTGAAGAAGATGATGACTGTTATGGGTTTTGATGAGCACTGGATCCGCCTTATTATGCTATGTGTTACCACAGTAAGATATTCGATTATGATAAATGGGGAGGTGGGTGGAAGTGTGACCCCGACTCATGGGCTGAGACAGGGAGATCCTCTTTCTCCTTATTTATTTATTATTTGTGCGGAGGGACTTTCAATGTTATTACAGAGAGCACAGATGGATGGGGCTATACATGGATGTAGGGTGGCTAGAGGGGCACCACCGGTCTCACACTTATTTTTTGCAGATGACAGTCTGTTGTTTTTCAAAGCAAATATTCAGGAAGCAGCTGTTATTAAGCAGTGCCTGGTTAGATATGAGAAATTGTCTGGCCAAATGGTGAACTATAATAAATCAAATATTTGCTTTAGTAGAAATACCCAGATGGCGCAGAGGCAGCATGTGGCGTGGTGTTTGGGGGTGGAACTGGCATCTAATTTTGGGAAATATCTGGGGCTCCCTTCCTTTATAGGAAGAAATAAAAGGGCTGTATTTGCATATATTGAGGATAAAATCAGGCAGCGAATTGGATCATGGAACAAAAAGTTACTCTCACAGGCGGGGAAGGAAGTACTCTTAAAAAGTGTGGCTCAGTCTATGCCTACATTTTCTATGAGTGTGTTTTTGTTACCTGAATCAGTGTGTTTGTCTATACAACGTACTATGAATAAATATTGGTGGGGGACAAGAGCAGATCGTGGAATACATTGGAAGGCTTGGGATAAATTATGCATCCCTAAGAAATATGGAGGATTAGGTTTTAAGGACCTTCGTGCGTTTAATCTGGCCATGCTGGGGAAACAGGCATGGAGATTTCTTACAGAACCTACCACTCTAGTAGCAAGGATCTATAAGGCTAGATATTATCCAACGACTACTTTTATTGATGCTACTATAGGAAATAATCCGAGCCACTGCTGGCGGAGTATTATGGCCACCCATGATCTAGTCTGTGCCGGGGTGCGCAGAAGGATTGGAAACGGTAGGGATACATTGATATGGGGACATCCTTGGTTGTCTGATGATCCTAGTCCTTTGGTTCAAACACACATGCCTGAAGGGTTAAGACAAGCACTAGTGAGTGGCCTTGTAGATCAAGATACGGGTACCTGGGATCCACATATTCTCAATGATTTATTTGTTCCTGAGGATGTGAGCCGAATCTCAAGAATACTAATAAGCCCAGATTATGATGACACTTGGTATTGGAAGGGGGACACACAAGGAATATACACGGTTAAGAATGCCTATAGGCATATTATGGGGGACTATTCTGATGACCCAGGTGCTTTTGATAAATGGGTTACATTATGGAAATTAAGAGTGCCACCCAAATGGAAAACCTTTTTATGGAGAGCCGTGTCTGGCATACTACCCACCACTGATAATTTAATTGTTAAACGGGTGGAGGTGGATCCTATATGTCCCATGTGCGGCAATACACAGGAAAATATTATGCATGTACTGGTTTTATGTGATTATTCTAAAATGGTTTGGAATATTTCGGGGTTACCTGTCACGAATATTCAAACTAATTTTTTCCGATCATGGTGCATAGGCATGATGGACTCGTTGTTGGAGGGGCAAGTACGCCTGGCAGTTGGGATCCTCTACTACTTATGGTTAGCAAGGAATTCGGCGCTGTGGGAGAGAGCCTTGCCGTGCACGGCCTACGGCTACAGTGAAGAAGGCGGTGCTGACCGAGGAGGCCTTCACCAGGCTGAGACGTGGGACGACACAGCCGAATGCTACGGTGATGCCGGAAACCGAACCGTATGGGCTCAGGTGCTATTTCGATGCAGGCTACAGACAACACACGGGGGAAGCAACGTTCGGAGTTGTGTTACTCAGTCACGAGGGTGTTTTTATGGCAGCCTCGGCGGGGACACTACCTGGAGCTTTTTCACCCATTATGGCAGAAGCCCTAGCATGCAAGGAAGCCCTATCGTGGCTTAAAGGGCGCGATATACAGAGGATTGATCTACTCACTGATTGCATGGAGTTGCGTAACATGATAAAATCAAGAAGTACCGGAACACGATCGTATGTTGGGGTCATTGCGGACCAGTGCAGGACAATTATGTCATCATTTAATTACTGTTCTTTACATTATATTTCCAGAACTGCTAATATGCATTCTCATACACTAGCTTCGTTAGCTTTCGATCAGGAACATCCTATGTACTGGGATGTAATCCCACCTGACTCTATTACTATGTTCATTCATTAATATACCAAAATATTTGGCTTTCAAAAAAAGGTGAGAATGTAAGGACTAATTTGAGTTTTTTATTTGTCAAGATCTTAGCTTATTACAAAGATTAATTCTTTAATTAATTCACTGATTTGTTAATTTAGTGTGTGTGGGGCAATATGAGAATGTTACGTTTTTCACTGCTGGTTGTGTCGTCGTTCGATTTGGCTCTCTCATTGATTTTTCAGCGTTTGGTTCTTGTCTGCATCATAGTTTTAGGATAGGTTTGTGTGTGTGTGTGTATATTTTCTTTTGTGCGATTCGTTTGATTGTATTGGTGGTGCTTATATGGTTGATCATTGAATTTGGTGTGTGGGTGTTGTTTTTTGAGGTTCCTTGTTTGGTGTGTGCGTTTTTTATTTGGTGGTGGCGTGTGGGTTTGCGTTAATGAAAGTTTTTGGATCGCATGACTGGGGATCGGGGACCGGGGGAGGCGGAAGGGGAAGGGGGAGGGGGAGTGTTGTGCATTGTAAGGTGTGGTGTTGTGCATCTTAAGTTGTGCATTAGTGTGAGTCCTTGATGCATTGTAAGGTGCACTGTTGTACATTGTTGTAGAGTCCTTGGTACGTCACTGTATTATGGGGTGCGCAATGGGGTTAGAGGGGGGGGGGGGGGGGGGGGTTTGTTTTTTCCTTCTTGCAGTGTGGTTCTGTGTGTTTATAATGTAGAATTTGGTGGTTGTGGCTTGTAGATGTAACATTTGTGTATCAGTGTTATAGTGACAGTGCATCGCTGTTGTAGTTTTGGTGCATTCTGGTGTTTGATGTGGTGGATTATGTTCATGTTAGATATGGTTCATGGGGTGTGCATCAATGTTTGTTTGTCGTGGATTTTTATTAGGGTTAATACCATTTGAGGTCCTCCGAGTATAGTGGTTTTGCCATGTTTAGTCCTAAACTTTCAAATTGACCATCTGTGGTCCTTCGACTTTCAAATTTAACCATTAGTGGTCCAAGTTAACCATCCATGGTCCTTCAACTATTAAATTTTAACCAACCATGGTCCTTTCAAGAGGACCACCATTGGTTAAATTTCGAAACTTGAAGGACCATGAGTGGTTAACTTGGACCATAAATGGTTAAATTTGAAAGTCGAATGACCACAAATGGTAAATTTGAAAGTTTAGGACTAAATGTGGCAAAACCACTATACTCGGAGGATCTTAGATGGTATTAACTCATTTTTATTTTTTTTTTTGACTTTTGGGCGTGTGTGTTAATATTAGTGATTAAAAATAATACTTCGTACTTTGTTTCCATCTATATTGTTAGAGAAAAAAAACATATTTGGAAAGTGTAGTGGGATTTTAGTTCCATGAAAATGGGGGAATTGCAATTCCTTTCAACCAAACAAGGGAATTTTGTGGCCTTTGGAATTATGTGGGAATTAAGTGGGAAGGGAATTTAAATTCCCTTCAACCAAAATAATGTACTTTTAATATATTAAAAAATGTACCTGATATTTAGGGTCCAGACAATAATTTGCCGTTCTCATGGGAGCCGAACCATATATTAATTATATATTTATAGATTTTGGATCAAATATAAATGCTTCTACAGGTTAAAAAAAAATGCGCACAAATGCTAATCGTAGTATACCAAATCAACCGTCCAGATTGAAATTAATTAAAAAACGCTCGGTGGCATATTTGTAATTTTGAGTAAGTAGGTCATATTGTCTTTTGTATCCGAGTGCACATTTTTCTTCTTCGAGTGCATATTTTTACTTATTCAAGTGCATATTTCTCTTCTTCGAGTGCATCATTTTTGTTTCAGTACTTAGTTTCCCCTTTGAGTGTACATATTTGTGCCTTTGAGTGTAAAAATTTTGCCTTCAAGTGCATATTTTTCTTTCTAAGAGTGCACAATTAATTTTCTTTTAGCTTTCCCTTCTAGTATCTTTTTTTTTTTTTTTTCATTTGCCTTCTAAGTGATCCTCTTTATGCTTTGAAGTGCTCAGTTTCATGCCTTCAAGTGCATGTGTGTAATACTTAGCATTCCATTGAACCTTTTTTTTTTTCCCCTTCTAGTGCATATTTGTAGCCTTCAAGTGCACGTTTTGTAGCCTTCAAGTGCATGTTTTCCTTTCTAAGAGTGCAGAATTAATTTCTTTCAAATTTTCTTTTTTTTTCTTCCTTGCCTTCTACTGATTGTCTTTATGCCTTCAAGTGCTCAATTTAATGCCTACAAGTGTATATGTCTTACTATTGTGTAAAAAAAAAAAAAAAAAAAAAACTTAGCATTCAAGTGAACCTTTTTTTTTTTTTCCTTTCAGTGCATTTTTTTGTCTTCAAGTGCATATTTTTATGCCTTCATGTGCATGATTTGTTGCCTTCAAGTGCACAATTCTGGACAGTATTTGTTATATCTTGTGCATTATTTTCAATAACATATAACTAAATTTCTAATGAAATTTGTGAGATCTACAAACGATGTGTATGGGTAATTGCTTTAATAACACTTAAGTTGAATAACCTCTCTTTTTGGTACCATAAATTGCACCAATTGCACATCTATTTGTCTTCGAGTGCAGAATTTTTGCCTTCAAGTGCATGATTTTGAGTTTTCAAGTGCACATTTCGTATATAATTTATTTTAAGATAGTCATTGATCATTAGGGAAGCTTGTCGCACCGCATTTTCGCGCGCGCGCGTGCGTGTGTGTGTGTGTTCATAATCAGGTGAGAACCATGCCCTAGGTGAAAACCTGTAGACAAAACCAAACTATTGATCTAGTAAATATAACGGTTGAAAATAAACAAAATTTTGTACTACTTCTGTCCCATTTTATGTGTCTGATTCAGTTAACGAGACTTGATTGAAGTTATTTTTAATTCAATTTTTTATAATATTAAGTATAGTATTAGTATACAAAATTTATAGATTTAGAAACTATACTAAAAATACTATTAAACACAAAAAATAAAATTCAAAAATAAGTTAAAAATACTCAAGAAAATAAACAAAGAAGAAATAATTAATTTGACCAATGAATAGTAAGTACGACAGATAAAATAGGACAGAGAGAGTAATATTTATGAAAATGACACCGCTCATTTTAAAAATTTGTAATATTTATGAAAATGAGCTCGCTCTCTTTTTACTTTTTTGAATGCTATTGACTCTATTACATTGTAGTATCTGTTCAACAAAGTCTGGGGGAGTATATGAACAGATACTACATTGTAATAGAGCCATGCATATGACAACAAAGTCTGGGGGATCAGAATGGAGGCGACATTGTAATAGAGCCATGCATATATTACTGCAAAAAGGACAACAAAGTCTGGGGGATCAGAATGGAGGCGTTATTCAGTAGGTTGAGAAAGTATATGAACAGATACTACATTGTAATAGAGCCATGCATATATTACTGCAAAAAGGACAACAAAGTCTGGAGGATCAGAATCCCAGTGTGATACTGCAAAAAGGACAACAAAGTCTAGTCTGGGGGATCAGAATCCCAGTGTGATACTACATAGACAACAAAGTCACAAAGTCTGGGGGATCAGAATCCCAGTGTGATACTGCAAAAAGGACAACAATGTCTGGGGGATCAGAATCCCAGTGTGATACTACATGGACACAGGTATCACATGGACAACAAAGTCACAAAGTCTAGTCTGGGGGATCAGAATCCTAGTGTGATACTACATGGACACAGGTATCACATGGACAACAAAGTCACAAAGTCTGGGGAATTATGGACAACAAAGTCTGGGGGATCAGAATCCCAGTGTATATTACTGCAAAAAGGGAACACTCAGTGCATATATTACTGCAAAAAGGGAACAACAAAGTCTGGGGGATCAGAATCCCAGTGTGATACTACATGGACACAGGGAACACCCTGCAAAAAGGGAACAACAAAGTCTGGGGGATCAGAATCCTAGTGTGATACTACATGGACAACAAAGTCTGGGGGATCAGAATCCCAGTGTGATACTACATTGTAATAGAGACAACAAAGTCTGGGGGATCAGAATCCTAGTGTGATACTACATGGACAACAAAGTCTGGGGGATCAGAATCCCAGTGTGATACTACATTGTAATAGAGCCATGCATATATTATTCCAAAAAGGACAACAAAGTCTGGGGGATCAGAATCCCAGTGTATATTACTGCAAAAAGGGAACACCCAGTGCATATATTACTGCAAAAAGGGAACAACAAAGTCTGGGGGATCAGAATCTCAGTGCATATATTACTGCAAAAAGGGAACAACAAAGTCTGAGGGGAGGCTTTAGAAGCTAGAGTATGGTGCTATGTGCAACATTATTTAAACGTCTAGGAATAGCGAATAATGTAAAGGAAGATAGCAAAGCTTTGCATTTGTCAACCACCACCCGTACATAGGACCTCGGAGCGGCGGACGAACCCGATAAGTGTCGTTTTAGGACCAGACAATCAGTATAAATAACCACGTCCTGAGCTGAGCGGGGCCTAAGCCAGGACAGCGCTTCCTTGCAAGCCAAGCCTTCGACCGTGAGAGCAACGGTGCACGGTGGGAGAACACCATTGGCGGCAGCGACAAATTGACCATCGGCCGAGAGGAGAGGTACCCCGTATGCAGCTACTCCCGAGTCCGGATTGAAAGCGGCGTCGAAATAGCAGCAGCGGCCTCCGGCTGGGTGATGTGGCGGGACTTGCTGCTGTAGTGACACGGCAAATGGCGGCAAATTCGATGCCTCCCAAGCAGCGT